ATATTTGACACGAAAACACGGTTCGATATAAATAGATCTTCTTGTTCTCTCTGCAGATAATTGTTTGGAAATTTAGAAACGTCCATTTGAATTAAACGTTATGCCCAGATAATAGTAACTAATAGTATTCTGTGATATTGGCGATTTGATTCCCATTTAGGAAGATGGGGTATTTGTCTCATGTTGATTTACGGTTTTGTTTTCGGAAGAATCAGTGCTTCACCTTTTTTTAAGATTAATTTTCAGTAACCACAAGGCTTGTTTTCCAGCAGGGGGTAGCTGGGTTTAGGTTTTGTTAAGGGGGTGAGTGTGAGTAAATTAATTGCCGAGTCACGCTTACGCTTTAAGATAAGTCATTGTCCGCAATACCAGTAGCCTGCGAACAGCAGACTGATTTCTGGGCGAGAAGCGACAACCAGAAATACTTCTGCTGTTCGCAGGCTACAATATAAGAGGTCCGATATAAGGTTTGTTTTCCGGACGGTTGTAATGGACACTAAATGGGGCCAAGACAATGATAAAATTGCCTATGGTAAATTCTGTACTGACTGGACTGGTATTGTTGATATATATTTGGAGTGAAAGAAAAAGAACAGGAAGTTGATGCTTCTCTCGACTTAACATAATTTATTAGGTATCCTAGTTTGACACACAAACAGTAATTAAACCTCTCCCAGACTGTCACATTCCTTTGAAGTTAAAATAATATTCAGACAGAAACTGCTTTCAAAGTCAATCATTTTACATTTCAAATCGGACAAAAGCAAACATTAGAGGGGTTAAGAAGGCAGCTGAAAAAACTAAATCATTCAAGCATAAAGTTCATTTGCATATTTCATAGTAAAATAAAAAAGCAAAATCAACAGATTTCACTCTGATCAGACTTTTTACAGAATAAGCAACTCAAAAAATCAAGATTATTGAAGAAAGCATGAAAGGCTGGATGAGCAGATCAGAGGAGTTTCCCTCAAAATATGTAGGGTCTGACAAATTACTCAGAGAGGTACTCTCGCATTTAAGCTATTTAGGTGTGTGTTGCTGAACAGGGTATTGTTTACGCGGTGCCTAGTCCATAAATAGCGTATCCTTTTTCATACTGTGGACTGGCCGTTTGATAAAAGCAACGGCAATTCAAATAGGTTAGAACTACAGAATGCTTGCTTTATGAATGTCTATAAAAACAAATGAAAACAACCTATTGACACAATTTTATGCTTTCTATTTCCCCTATAGGGTGTGATGTTTCAATTTTTTTCCCTTACATAGGATCAGGGTTTTAAACCCTTTTAGGGAACACACCTATCCTAAATTAATGGCAACACTTCCATCCTACAGGAAAAAAGTGACATTCAAGACCCATATTCCTTTGTTGACAAATCTCAGATCTCGGGCAAAAATTTTCAAACTCTGAGATGGAAAGAAATGCACAAAAACAATAGTTTGACGCACATCACAAATTATACCAAGATTTCAAGGAACCATTTGACCTCGTCAGTCTTCACACTTTATTCAAACACAACAGGTTACATTAACAGATAATGCCCAGTTCCTATTTCAAGCACTAGTTAGTTTCTATCAATATCATAAATCAAGGTTAACATATCCCTAATCCTTGTAATGCTGCCTTTTTAAGGAACACATACTTTTTCTTACATGTAGAATGTGTTTAAAGAACCTTATGTATTACAATGAATAATAGTTTTTATATTAATCATGTGTTATGTCCAGTTTTTATAAAACTGTTTACACATGTATCTAACTGTATTGTGTGGTTCTTGAATGCTAAAGAAGTTAAGGAAAATGGTACAAATGTCCAGCCTAATATGTAAAGCTGTAGCTAGACACTTCCACCTTCTAATTGTCTATTTTTCCAGCCCAACCAGCTTCACGCTCAGATCCCATAGCTTCTTGGCTGCGACATCATCCTGGGCCCCCTTGCATTCCTCCACAATGGCGCAATCTCGCAGATATTTTCCACTGACACCTTCCATCTCCTCAGAGACTGCACAGTGAATGGTAGTTTGGGCTCCCTGTTCTGCTGTCTTAAATACATACCAGCGAAGGGGAAAGAGGAGAGCACTTCCTATGAAAGAGTGGCGCTGCAGATCAGTGGTGACTGCTCCAGGATGCAGTGAATTCGCTGTCACGTGGGTACCCTCGAGGCGTTTGCTCAATTCGCGTGTGAAGAGCACGTTTGCAAGCTTGCTGTTGAAGTATGCACCCCAGCTGCTGTAGCTCTTTTCATAGTTTATATCTTCAAAGTTGATCTTGCCACTTCCCATTCTGTGAGCGGACGAAGACACGTTTATGATACGACTCGGCTGACAAAGCTTCAGTCGGTCAAGGAGCAGCATCGTCAGCAAGAAATGCCCGAGATGATTCGTACCAAACTGCATCTCAAATCCATCTTTTGTCTTCTGATATGCGCAGGCCATCACTCCAGCGTTGTTGATAAGGATGTCTAGGCGAGGTTCGCTGTTGAGAATTGTATCTGCAAACTTGCGAACTGACTCCAAAGAAGCAAGATCTATCTCCTCAAGGAAAACATTGGCGTTTCCGCTTCGTTCTTTTATTTCATTCAGTGCTTCTTTACCCTTTTGTAGGTTTCTGCAGCCGATTATGACCCTTGCTCCACGCCTGGCTAAATCCACCGCGGTTTCTTTACCGATGCCAGTGTTTCCACCGGTGATAACCACGGTTTTTCCTTTTAGGCTCTTGTTACTCTTGCATCGAGGCCCTTGGAAGTATCTTTTCCCTGCATAAAGGACAGCAATTCCTGCTACACCGATCGCAGCTGGGACAGCCATGTTCGAGCCAAGAACTTGGACAATACAACAACAATAAAATATGCTGAGTCATGCTTGCGTAACCTCGT